CAACAAATCGTACCAGAAGCTAATTACGACAACCATGATTCTGTGTCTTTCTCTCTTGGGACGTCTTGCCATATCCTCTTCCACAAGGGTTTGCTGTAGCAAGGAAGAGGTAGACAAATATACACGCCGAAAACAGAGGCTGAAAGGAACAATTTGGCGGGCATAAAAAAGAGAGAGTAGGAGCGGTGGAATCGGCGGCCGATATGTCATCGTGTTCTTTAAATGGAATCGATGAAACTGGGCTGAGTTGTCTCGTTGTTGTGAGGATTTTCAGAGAGGTTTGGAGAGCTTTGGAGGAATCAATGGATGAAGAATAGAGATGGGTTTTGAGAAAAGCATGAAAGGGAAAGAAGATGCATATCAGAGAAATAAAAGGGGGAATAAAACATTGTTGGGCTACACAAGAATGGGGCAGCATTTGGAATTTTAGGTTTTTAATAAGGACAAGAAAGTCCATAAAATTGGAGGGGCCCACAAATTTCGGTTGAATTGTGAAATGCTTTGGTAAACCCCAAAGCATTTGACAATTCATATTCTTATGTATTTTCCAATTGCATTTGGTTTTAATCTCATGGTTTTGAGCCAATTCTGAAGCAAAAAAAAAACACTGAAATTGGAGAAACCATGTATTATATATATCGGGGGTACAATACATGCCCACCAAACGACCCCTAAGAATCATGTCCACGGTCGGGTCTCAATCTCGTATCTCAGCAACCCAGACGCACTGTCGGAGGGCATCTCTGTCTCCGGGTTGGCAATTACCCTAGACTCATTAGATTTGGTTAAGTTATGGATATTGTTTCTATAATCTAAATGAGTATGAGTTGGGTATGAATACTTATTTAATTGAGCGTATTTTAACTATACATATCAAATTTATACCTATTTGTAAAACTTAAAAAGTTTAGGTATCAAAATGTAAGACAAAAAATTTAGGTATCAAAATATAATTTTCATTAATATTTTGAGGACTTATATGCAAAAAAATTAATTTTAGGTACTAAATCTGTAGATCTATTAAGTTTAGGTACCAAACTGTATTTTGCATTTGGACATGGGTACAAATCAAAATCCATATATAAAAACTAATCCAACCCAAAATAAATGGGTATGAGTATAAAGCCATCAAACTCTACCCATTTATCATTTATTTTGATTTATACCCAACCCAATTGGGTTGGAGAATAAAATACCGATAAGTATAGGCAAAATTGTCATCCCAAATTCCCTACTCACCACGTCAAACCTCCATGTCTTGAAAGCCCAGCCCGTCGCAGTCAAGCTCCTCGACCCCGACGGCCTCCAGGGCCACCACGAGTGGCTCACAGAAGCGTATCGGCTACTGCTTCCCCTGATTTTCACAGCTGAATCGAATAATAGCGATAAAGATTCCCTCTCGTCTCTACGGTAAATCGCCGAATTGAACATTTGCGACGTTCTCGCTCACGACTCTCAATGGACTATAGCTCCTCCACCGACTGCTCCCGTCACCATTGCACCTCAGGAACTTCATCGTTCTCGAACCCCAGGGTCTGACGAAAGAAGACGGTCATCCAAGCAAAGGAGAAACTGAGTTTCTTTGTTGACGCAGACGAGGCAAACCCACATCTCCGTGAGTGTGAATCTTGCATTCGGGGAAGCCACCTCTGTGATATCATCCATTACAGGGTTCCCCTTGGGTATTTTTCCTGTGCAATCCAGTGTTGTAGTCAGGAATTTGGCTAGGGTGGGTCCAACGATAAAAGAAAATCATTACATAATTTATATTAATGTTCACAATGATCCAAAATGTGTTTTCATACTCTGAAAAAGTATGCAAAATACATTCATCATCAAAACTATTAAGGATGTCGTTCTCGAAGTAAGCAAAAATGCATTCTTGATTTCATCACTCATTCGATTCTGAAGTGTGTTTTTCACGAAGTTCGTGGTAGAAAAAATTCTTTCAAAACTTACAGTGGTAACAGATAGCAATACTGCTAATTTCAGAAGTCGATATACCAATAGAAACACTCAATATTTTTTGACACAACCATTGCTTTTTGAAATCCAAGTAACCAAACCAATTCTTCACTTTTAAAATAAGAACATACAATCTACCAAGCTAGCTAGCCTTTTAATTAGATTATATTACGTATGCAATTAACTAGCCGATTAGGGAATAGGGATTACCTTAGAAGAGAAATGGTAAGCAACAATTAAACCAAGAAGCGACGAGTAAGGAATATGCTAAAAATAACTGAAATTGGGAACATATCAACATAATAAAGAGCTTTGCGTAGCCGTAGCTGAGTAGAACTGTGGCGTGTGGGAGAAACATATATATTTTGGGGCCAATGCTATGGTGCCGCTGTAAAAAATGCGGCACCGGTGCAGCCAATTTCTATTGGGCCATGCTGTCATTAGCAAGCTGATGTGGCATTAAATAACAACCCAGTTGAAACCGTCGCCAATTAGCCAAGAGTCGGAGAACAACCAGTCAACCATCAAACCGCGGAAGTTTTATTTTTTATTTTTTTCTCCCTCGGTAAATACTAAATACATTATAATATTTTACGATACTCCTACCGCGACTTTCGTGATTTCGCCGGTGCTGGGCCCTGCCACTGCTTTGCCGGCAACTGGGACTATCACTGTGGCCGTGTCCGATTCACCCGCACCGTCGGCCCCATACATACACGTATGAACAAAATTGACTCGATCTATGCATTTGTGTTGTAATTTCTTCATTATTCAACAATATTAATTATGTTAATTATCTTTTGCGGAAGGTTTTGTGAAACGATCGGTTGAGCTTTTCAGTTTTACTTTTCACATTGTCGTGGTTAATTTGATAAGTGCATGATTAAGGCCAAGTCAACCATTTTACTCTTTTTCGCCTTTTGTGAGTTTAGGTTATTTCATGGCTTAAGAAGGTGATGCTTAGTGTTCGTGAATTCTGAGAATGCAATTTTGCTGCGCTGAAGAGAAGTGCAGGCGATTGGACCCGGTGCCGCTGAGCCTTCGCGGATGGAATCGTATAGGGGAAAACAATAGAAGCCTCTGCCAGCATTGTTGAATCACAAGGCACTTAAGCCTCCTGCCTCCGGAGTCGCAGTTTGACTCTCAGTTGCCGGCGAAGCAGCGGCAGGGCCCAGCACTGGCAAAATCACGGGAGTATCGTAACAACTAACAACTAACATGTAAATCTATTTACCGAGAGAGAGAAAATAAAAAGAAATAAACAAATTCGTGGTTCGGTGGTTGTACTTTTGCCGGTTAATTGGCAACGGGTTTTCGGCTAGGTTCTTAGAAATTCTACTAATGCCACATCAGCTTCCTAATGACAACGTGGACCAATAGAAGTTGGCTGCACCGGTGCCGCATTTTTTATCGTGGCACCCTAGCATTGGCCATATTTTGGTCGTTCTTGTACAAGAACAAGGTGGGCCTCGGACCCACCCATGGGCTGCCTCCGCTACTGGGTAGTGATGGCAACGAAATTCGAACTCACGAGTACCCACCCAATCCAACCGGTCAACGCGGGTGAAATTCATGTTGATGGGTTTTGGGCCGGGTTTGGGTTTAAACCCATTCATTATTCACCGGGTTAGGTTGGGTTTGGGTTTAGGTAAACCCGACCCATGGGTACCCACCCACACCATATAATTAATTTTCTCGGTATATTTAATATTCTAAACAACTAATCTTATTTATGTTTGTGCAGACAAGTCTAATTTTTTCTTTTTAACTGTGTGGAATGAAGTTGACGTTATCGAGTGGAGAGTGAAGAAACTTAATTGAAAGGATAAAGCTTTCAATTAATCATGTTATTTATGAATAATTTGTGATTTGCTTCTATTTTCTTGAGTTTTCTAGATTGGTGTTGAACAATTTGTATAGTTAATTTGTGATTTGCTTTAATTTTCTAGAATGGTGTTTTATATATGGATAATTTGTATTGAGAGATTGATATTTGACTCTAATTTTGATAGGAACTTGTTATTGTAATTTTTTACGACAACAACCCGTGGGTACCCATGAACCCGCGTATACCCAGGGGGTTGGGTTGGGTTTGAGTTTTTCAAACCCAATGGGTTTTATCCCGGGTTTTTTTCATGGATAAACCCATGGGTTTGGGTTTGGCAAAACCCGACCCAACCCAACCCATTGCCATCCCTACTACTGGGGCAATCCATTTAATTTTTCCCTTTCCATGAGTAGCAATGGACGGCCGGTGTCGACATAGGCCCATTGTTTGATTCAACCGCGGAAATCAGGTGAGGGGATTTCGGAGGAATAGTTAGAGCATTTATATCAATGCAATTATAAAAGTAATTGTATTTATATTTTTTATTACTTTTATGTTTTTACAATCAATTCATATCACTTTTTTCCCGCAAAGTGAGTTGTTATAAAATCAGCCATACAGAGAAAATAAAAAGAGCGCGGGAGTCGACCAATAGTCAAACTCCCGATGAGAGGACCTTTTATGCCACATGATGGGCAGCCTTATTGAGACAACGGCGAACAAAACAGTAAGAACCCAACTAAAGAGAGAAGCCAAGCTCTGAGCATCGTGCAAGATAGTTCCATCCTGATCATGAGCCAAGTCACCTGTCTAAGGAAGCCTCTCCGATATCGCGAGCTCTTTAGCATGCCCCTACAAAAAAAAAACAAACACACACAAGCGTCCCCACTGTAGGACAACTACGCTCCACCAAATGGACTTAAACAAGCCATTAAGTCTTAGTTGGATACACCGAATCCAAAACAATGTCAAACTAATTTTTTTTTTAAGAATAGTTAAAGAAAAGCAAAAAAATAAAACGGGACGAAATTAACAAATAAAATGAATAAAAGGGAGGGTAAGTATCAAAAGAAAACAAATAAAAATTACTAATAAATAATGAAGGAAAAGAATAGTGGTTAATTAAAATGATAAAGGAAATAAAAAAAATGGAAACTGAGGAGTCTGTTTGCGTTACTTACCTGGATCCGTTACGCCATTCCAAAAGGTTTGAAATTGTAATTAATTAAAAAACACGGTTACCAATTACTTGCAGCAGATCTCAGAAGAACCGACCGTTCAGTTACCTCAGGTAACCACCGTCTGTCTTCTCTTCCATGCGCCGTCAGTCTTTGGAGACTTTGTTCACAGAAGCGGCGTAGTACTTCTTGGGACAAATCGGGACAGCAACAGGCAGCAGAAGCCCAAACAGGTTGAACCTCCAAAACGCCATGTTCGCCACCGCAAGACCCCTCCCAAAATACAGCCTCCTGGCGCCGGCGTCGTCCTCGGACGTCGCGAACTCGAAGCTGAGCCAGTCGGCGAGGGTGAAGATGCAGCGGGAGTGGTAGAACACGGGGATGAGGATCCCAACGGGGAGCGAGAATCGGCTAGAGCCTAAGGCGACGCCTTCCATGAACAATTGCTCGCGAGCAAGAAAACATGGGACGCCGCGGCGGCCTTGATTGCGTCCTTGTTGTCGCCGTTGAATAACCCCTGGCAGATGTAGGCGACGGGGAGAGGGGGAATCACTAGACTCCTACTTTTAATTCATATCACTTTCATTTACCTACATCTATGTAATTAACTTGTAATTGCATATGTGGGCGCAAATTATTTTTTAATAAATTAAAAGGTTCATATGTTTATTGTTTTATTCATAAATAAAATAAAATAAAAATTCATAAGTGTCTACGTGGAATAGCAAGCAAAATTGCAAGAAATGATAGATTGCATTGTTGCAATTGGGACTTCCATCAATACAATTAAAAATGCAATTGTATTTCCATTACCATGTCACTTTGTAATTGAATATAATAGCTTAATGTGGATGCTCTTATTGTGGAAGGGGACTAGGTTTTTTCTTTGTTTGGTAATATAAAATAATTCTGAAACAAAATAATAAGACAAATTATTTCTTAATTTTATTAAATTATTAGTTTTTCTTGTTTGGTCACTCAAAATAATTGCATAGTTGGTCACTGAGATTACAAAAAACGTTCGTGTTTGGTCACTCAAAATATTTAAATCTATTCGTGGTCACTAAAATTAGTAAAACCGTCCAAGTTTGGTCACTCTTCGTTAGTCTCCATCCATCTCCGTTAACCAAGACCGTTATGTGCTGACGTGGCTAACGGAATCGCTTAGTCAGTCTAATTTAACCCAAAAATAGTGAAATCCGACCATCCATGTCACTATAAACTGCCATATCATCTTGTCTAACCCAACCCAACCAACCCTTGAATCAAACCGACCTACCTAACCATGTCTAGATCTAGCGAATCCCCTGCTGCCCACCAGTACTAGATTTTCGATAATCCAATCCCATGAGGAGGCAGAGGGGATTAAGGAGATCCCATCCAACAAAGAGGAGAAAAAGAGGCAGGTGATAGGCGACCCGCGATCTGGCTCCGCGTTGGAGTTCTTCTTCTAGACTTCTGCTGCCGTGAATGAATCCCAGAATGACGGAGGAGGGAGTGAGATCGTGGATACGAATTCAAGAAAAAGGACCAGAGTACCAAGCTTTGGTCGTGCGTGGTGGCGACGACAACAATTTTGATGTACGCCAAGCTAGTAAAGGGGAGGCCAACACATGTACCATAGATGGGTGGGGAAGAAAGAGGATTAGATGGAGAGATGGGGAAGCAGATCGAGTAGCAGGGGGTCGAGAGATGAAGGAAGGGGAAGCTTTAGCAGGGGTCGATAACTATATCTTTGGTTTGGTCAACTAAAGGAGGGTTTCCCTCCCCTCCCCAGTATTTACTCAGCATCCTTCCCTTGACTTCTCCACCCCCAGAAATTAATTCCTCTCTACTTTGTTAACCAACTCCAACCGGAAACTGAAGAAGTAAATAGTTTATGGTTAATAGTCAATCGTTATAGATTGGTGTTGGCGGATCATTTATGAAACAACTCATATAATAGATTGACTGGAGTTGGATGAAGGAAGTCAGGAAGAGGAAGTTTTAGCAGGGGGTCGAGAGATGAAAGCGATGAGTTAGGTAGCTGTGGTTAGGGAATGGAATTATGGAGAGATGGGGAAGAAAGAGGAGAAGATCCAGAAGAAGCTCTAGACCAAAGAGGAGATTTTTTTGCTCTCCATCAAAGAGGGGTTGAGAGAAGAAGACTGAGAGATGGAAATTCGTTTTGTTTTTTTTTTATTTTTATTTTAAATGATTAATAATAATTTGACATTGAGGGTTTAATGACATGGCGGGTCGGATTTTATGACGTGGTTGGTTAAAATGGGGTGAATCGGCATTTTTGTTTGCCACATCAGCAAATAACTGACGGCATTAACGGAGACGGATGGAGACTAACGGAGAGTGACCAAACTTGGACGGTTTTACTAATTTAAGTGACCATGAATGGATTTAAATATTTTGAGTGACCACACATGAACGCTTTTAGTATTCTCAGTGACCATCCTTGCAATTTACCCGTGGCAATATTCATGTCAGCAAAGTATACTGATTCACTAACGGTTAATGATATTGACTGTCTATTTTCATAGAAAATTAGAGGTCACCCCAAATTAGTCTTTATGGTGTAGTTTAAGCATAAATAAATAAGTATGTCAGAAACCATGGGTCAAAGTGGTCTATTTAATTTAGGTAAAGTAGTAGATTGAGGATTATCATGTTTCTGCGTTGAGTGACCATCAAATGTGTTCTTGTATAGTGTTCTGGAATAGTGTTCTTAGTTTAGGTCATTAGGGCATGGAGTTATGGATCAATTGAAGGTCAATAGGTTTCGGATGCAATTTCAAGTAATTAGTGGAGTTTTATTTGGTTTGAAATTCTTTTTAACTCCTTAAACTTGCAGTGGCCTAGTACACTACGCTAGGACTGTCAGTTCGGTTGCCGGTTAGCGGCTAACCGGCTGGTCTAACCGGTAACCGGAGGTTAGCGGCTAACCGGAAACCAAACAAAACGGGTGGCGGTCGGTTGTCGGATGTGTTCAGTGGTTAGGCGGTTAGCCGAAAAACCGAGGTCGGTTAACCGGCTAACCGACGCTAAACGACCCCGTTTTGGCCTAAATAAAACTACCCACCTCTCCCTAAACCCTAGCAGCCGTGAGCCGCTCCCCATCCTCTGATCCTCCCCCATCCTCCCTCCTTCTCCCCCATCCCTCTCCCCCATCCTCCCTCCTCCCCCATCCTCCCTCCACCGACGACTCCGGCCGCCCTCCCCTGCCTCCTCCGCTACCCCTCCTTCCACCGCCACCACAACTTGCTCTGACTCCGAGCCGGCCAAGCAAGAGGGAGAAGAAACTTCCTCTTCGGATTTTATTCCTTTCAACAACAACAGTAGCAGTAGTGGCCCATCTGGTTCGACGACCTCCTCCTCCCCGCAGCGCCTCGCCGCCCGTCGCCACGCGCCTCGCCGCCCGTACAAATCTATTTGCATAGTCCATGGAGAAAGAAGGTGAGAGAAGAAGAACGAAGGAGAGAGAAGAGGTCTGGTGGAGGAAGGAAGGAGAGAGGAGGAGATAAGGAAGGAGTGGTGGAGTTTTTTTTTGTTTTATTTTTTTTTTTTTTTTTTTTTTTGTGGAAAATGTATTTTTTTCGGTTGGACGGCTAACCGAGCCTAAAACCGGAACCGACCGGTAGGTTGGCCGGCTAACCGTGACCTCTCTTCGGTTGGGGGTCGGCAGCTATAGGGGGTGTCTCAGTTTAACCGATAATCGGGTTTTTGGTTTTTGGTTAAACCGAAACCGACCGACTTCCACCCCTACACTACGCACCATCACCATGAGGAAGAAAAATGTGTATATAGAGAATTTAAATGTTTATAAGTATGTATTATGCATGACTTGTCATTATACATTAGGGGGTGTTGAACAAGAGAGGGTGAACCCGATGAACCTTCTGAATTCTGTTCACTCTGACAATTTTTTTGCAGTTCCAGCCAGGCTTTCTGGGATCCCTCTCCGGCTGCGAGCTACTCAGATAGTTCTTTCTACGAAGAGCTCATCAAGGAGAACCTCACCGTTTATCCTGACATCCCCGAGAAGGTCGTTTGGAAACCCATTATTTCATCTAAATTCGTGTGTTCCTGTGGCTTGTTTACAAAAGGAAGATCCTTACTCACGATGCCCTCAAGAGGTGAGGGTGGGCTTTGGCTAGCAAATGTGCTCTTTGCGGGGCTAACGAGGAGACGATCGATCACTTATTTCTCTTTTGCACTTTCAGTCGTGAAGTCTGGAGGATGTTGAGCACTTACGTCCATCTCAGTCCGATTTTCCAAGGCATCTCTTCCACAATCAAGTCGTGGCCAATTATCCTGTCCCCTTTCCTGAAGAACTGGTGTTCGAATATCTTCATGCATGTCTTTTGCTGGCGGATTTGGTTAGAGATAAATTCCAGGATTTTCAGGGAGGATTGCTGGTCGACTCACAAGTCTGTATTGGTATCGCCACTTGCATTGTTGAATGGCTGGTTTCTTCAAAGAAAGTGGACAGAAGTATTGCGGATCAATGGTTGAGCAACCTGAAGACAAGAATGCTTTCCAGGACAAATCCGAGTTCTTCGCTTCTTCCGGATCATGCCCAGCACGTCCAATGATCCTGCTCCTGCCTTGGTTCCTTTTTCGGGTTTCCTGGTGGACAGTTCTTGGTTTATGTCAGAGACACGTTTCAGGCATGGATGCTTTTGATGAGAAGGTTCCATGGATCTTTGCCGATGAGACTTCTATTTGCAGGTCGCTTTCCTTGACTGAATTGGTGTTCATGTGCGTGAATGGCCGTTCACGGCTGCTAGTGGGACGCAACAAGTCTGTTTGTTCGCCTCTAATGCACTATCCTTTTTTTGTTGTTTTTGTCTTGGACTGCTTTCTCAAAGCTCGGACCACAGCAGTCAAGCAATGGTTTTTGTTTGGCTTAGTTTCTTGCCAGACTTGGCCTCGTTTTGGTTTGTGCTTGGCATTGTTTGTAGTGGTTTCCGGGCAATTGTTCTGCTGCTGCTTTCCTAGGTTTTTTGCTTGCTGCCTCTTCCTTCTTCTTGACTTTTTTAGGTTTTTTGTTTGTGAACTCTCTCCTTTTATTAATATCATTTCATCCTTATATAAAAAAAAACTTGATGGTGGTAATCAATTTCCAGATAAAAACCTAACATTCTTTTTTCCTCCTGCACACCATTTTATCACCTGAAGAAACGATAATGAACATATATGCACTACTCATTCTCTCCTCTGTCTTTTAAAATATTTGTCATAAGATTTGATCGTCGAAGGCTGTTTTTTCTTACTTCAATACTAGTGCTTGATGTTGTGGGAATTGTTCACGTGTACTACTTTTTTGCAAAACAAGTCACATGTAAGATTTAAAAAAAAAAATGAAAAGACGTAACCGTCCTAGCCGACATAATTCAATGTCTCTCCTTAAAAATCTAATTCTCCTCTTATACCCAATATTATGGAATGATTCCTCTCATTATAGAAAGGACGTACCTTTTTTGACATAGCGATACCT